CTGTCGAGGCAGGGGCCAAGGCCCGGGGAATGGATGCTTCACCCCATGGTGGTGAAGCAGATATGGAGAGTTTTTGGCCTGGCCCAGGTGGACCTGTTTGCGACTCGGATGACATCGCACTGTCCCCTCTGGTTCTCTCTGAGTCATCCAGCTCCACTGGGGCTGGATGCCATGGTACAGACGTGGCCGAGGCTTCGTCTGTACGCCTTTTCCCCGATCGCTCTGCTCCCGGGGGTTCTGGAGAGAGTGCGCCGGGATGGGGTCCGTCTTCTGCTAGTAGCCCCGTTCTGGCCGGGCCGAGTATGGTCTCTGACCTGATTTCTCTCCTTGACAGCGCTCCATGGGAGATTCCCGTCAGGAGAGATCTCCTCTCACAGGCGGAGGGTACGATCATCCACCCCCGCCCGGAGCTGTGGAAGTTGTGGGTGGGGCCCCTGAGGGGGCACAACTCCTAGCTTCCGGTTTCTCAACCGAGGTTGTTGAGACCATCCTCCAATCCAGAGCTCCCTCAACGAAGAAACTGTACACCTAGAAGTGGAAACTTTTCACTTCTTGGTGCGAAGACCGCCAGCTCGACCCAGTTAACTGCCCGGGTAGTACAGTGCTGGAGTTCTTGCAGGCTCGTTTCTCCGCAGGGTTGACCCACTCCACCCTGAAGGTCTACGTGGCGGCTATTGTGGCCTACCACGCCCCTTTTGGTGGCCAGTCAGTGGGCAGACACCCCCTAGTTACACGTTTCCTCCGCGGTGTGCTGAGGCCTCCGGTACGATCTCGTGTCCCCACGTGGGACCTGGCTGTGGTGCTAGAAGCTCTCTGTAGGCCTCCCTTCGAGCCTATCGAGGAGATCATTGATCGCCACCATACAATCAAGACGATATCTTCTCTCAAGAGAGTTGGGGATCTGCAGGCCCTTTCAGTGGCCCCTTCTAAATCCTGACTTTGCGCCCGGTCTGGCCAAAGCGTTTCTGTAGCCTCGAGCGGGGTATGTTCCTAAGGTCCCCTCCTCTACACCACGGCCTGTCGTGCTCCAGGCCCTCAGTCCTTGTCCCTTAGGGGATCCAGACCAGCAGAAGCTTAACTGTATGTTTCCAGTGCAAGCACTGGACGCATACGTCCACAGAGCTGCGATGGATAGTAGATGCCATTTCTATTGCCTATGAGTCCTCTGATCTCCCTTCGCCTTTTAGGGTCACGGCTCACTCTACCAGAAGTGTGGCGGCCTCTAAGGCCTTCTTGGCAGGTGTCTCGATGCAGGACATCTGCGACGCTGCGGGATGGTCCACGCCCCTAACCTCTGTCAGGTTCTATGGCCTAGACATGCGAGCCACTCCTGGCTCCTCTGTTCTCGTGCCTTAGATGTGCACGCTTCCACACTAGGCGAAATTTGAAGTCTGGCGGCTTGGGCATTCTCGTTCCCGAAGCGTCCTCCGACGCAGCTCGAACGTCTCAGGATACGTATGTAACCATGATTCCTCGAGGGATACTTTCAGCATCTCTGCCAGCGCTTGCTTCACTCCTAGAAGCTGACGCTGGTCTCACCGCACGTGCTTTTATAGCTTCCTGGTCATTACGTCACCCGCCCGTGACGTCTCGCCCATCTATTGGTCTGATTACACACGAGGTTCAGAGCCGGTCACGCTGAAGGGCGTTCCCGAAGCGTCCTCCGACGCAGCGTCTCGTTCCCTCAAGGAACCATGGTTACATATGTAACCTGAGACGTTTTCACTGCTTGTCCCTTCATGCTGTTATGCAGCTCTATATTTCTTCACGTCCCAACGAAGCATACCACTTTTCAAAACTAACGGAATGCATAGTTGACATAAAAAAACTGGATGACTAGTAATTT